CTTCGGAGTCCCTTCCTCAGCCGCACTATTTGGTAGCGACTCCTTATTTAGCCTGTATCTTATAATTTACTGTGGTTACCATCCTTGGGAGGCTATTTTAAGACTTCTTACAGTGACTCAGAGAAATTATAGCTTGGGATTTGCTAGATGTGTTTGTGTATGTTATTTCATAGCTATATACACTCACCTGTGTGTATTTTTTAACTGAATGTATTAATCTACCTTGAAGTAATGTTGTAACCATAAACCTGTAATTTTCTCTACGTTTAAGATCTTCCTTCTGATAAGGTTATCTATTCATATTGGATTTAATTATAGCTCAAGGCATAACCATGTGTATTATTCCTCTGAGTGAGTGAGCCTGTCTGGCAACAAGAGGCTGTTGTTGCCAAAGCTTTATTGTCATCTGGGCTGAATATACTCCATCTGTGCCTCATTGCCAGCCTCAGGAGAAGGAGGTAACGGGGCAATGGGGGAGGAATGCTGTACTGTAGTCCCTTACACCACTGCTTCTCAATATATTCCAGCCCTTTGCAATGAACTAGGATAACTGTGATTTTATTGACTTCATCTTTTTTTAAACAAGAGAAATCAAACACTAGAAATAAAATTTAACTCTGCTTCATTTCCCATCTCTACATCTATTTCCTCCCATCTCCCAACTCCCCTTCATCCCTTGTTGTTCTCATAACCACTATCATGAATTTAGGTTTATCTTTCCAGATAATTTCTTAAAAGACTTGGACATAGATATGTATCCATAAATAATATAAAATATTCATACCATAGGACCTGTAAATTCATACAGTAGGATCTTATAAATTAAAAAAGAGTAGGATCGTTTTTTAATTTATACAGTAGGATCACACTGTACATATGCAACATGTTGCTTTTCTTACCATATTGGTAGATTGACATAATTTTTCTTAATGTAAGAATTTGGTACATATGTAATAACGTATCTAACACATGGCAGATTAGAAAACCTAGTAATAAAACAGAAAGCACCTGAGTCCACTGCACACACTGAGAAGTAAAACATACCCAGAACCATTGAAGCTCCAGTGTGCTGCTTCTCTAACCTCTGTTCCCACCCAGGAAACCACTCTTCTGAACTTTCTTCTTACTCCTTTTCTTTTCTTACCTCATATTTCTATGTCCCTCAATAGTATATATCCTTGTTTGCTTGTTTTTAAGCTTTGTAGAAATAGTATCATACTGTATATATTCTTTTTAGTCTTAATTTTTTATTCAATATATTTTTAAGATTCATTCATGTTAATCTGTATATTTTCACTGCTGTATAGTATTCCTACCCATTTTTCTGTCAGTAGCCATTTGTGTTGTCTCCAATTTTGCTATTATAAATAGTGCTTCTGTAAACATTCTCAGTGTCTTCTGGTGATACACACATGTAAAAGTTTCTCTGTAGTATATACCTGGGAGTATAATTGCTATGTTGTAAAATATGTGTACAGTTGACCCTTGAACAACTCAGGGGTTAGAGGTACCAACCCCCCATGCCATCAAAAATTCACATATAACTTCTGACTTTCTCCAAATTTAACTACTAATAATACCCTACTGTTGACAAGAAGCCTTACTCATAACGTAAACCTTTCAGTTAGCACATGTTTTGCATGTTATATGTATATATGCTGTATTCTTACAATAAAGTAAACTAGAAAAGAGAAAATATTAAGAAAGTCATAAGGAAGAGAAAATGCATTTACAGTACTGTACTGTGTTTATTGTTACCCTAAGTTTATATCATCTGTTTACAAGATGAAATGGCAGCTAACCACAACTGTAGACCTCAATCTACAGTGTATGTCAAGTAATTCAACTTTTTCTTGTAATGGCATGACTTTTCTCTGCTTGTTGGGAGCACTTCCAGAATCACTAGTGGCCCTTCGTATGGATCCCATGGTGTTATTTAAGGTTTACGGTATTGCACAAACACAATGAAAAATAGGCGAGAACTGAGAGAGATCAGCTTTTACCGCAGTATGCAATTTGCTGGAGAGATGAACTGCTCATGCAGAGATGATTTTTGTCACATGGCGTTTTAGGCATTTTAGGCAGCTATTGGCAATAGCTGAGTTCATTGCAATAGCAACAGGAGGTGGCTACAAGATTATTACAGTAGTACAGTATGTACCACAGTTACTTTTATGCATTTTATTGTGATTTAATACTCTCTGTGTTTGCTTACATTTCTTTTAAATGCACATGGCGTCATGTATGGTTTGTGTGTATAATTTTAACTTTTCCATAAGAGATTGGTATATATTTTCTGGTAGTAAATGAGAAAAACTAATACCTTTGTATATTTTGTGCACTCATGACATTCCTAACTTTCTCTTAATTTTTCAGTATTTCTAGGCTAGTGCTTTGTCAGCGAATTTTTTCAAATTGTCACGAATCTCAAATTTTTCTAGTGTATTTTCTTGAAATTTGCTTCATCTAAGTTGACCCACGCAATGCAGACCTGTTGTTTAGGGGTCAACTATATATTCAACTTAACTAGATGAGCCTATGTTCTTATCCAGAGTGATTACTCATACTCATCAGCAGTACATAGCAGTTCTGGTTTTTCCACATCCTCATCAACACGTGGTTTTATCTGGCATTTATTTTTGCCTTTGCATTTTGTAAAATAATATTACTGAATTGTGATTTTCAGTTTCATTTCCCCGATTTTGATGATATTGAGCATTTTTCATATGATTATTGGCCATTTGTGTTTCCCTTTTTTTGGAAATATTTATGTATTTTTTAATAGAGTTAGTCTTTTTTTAGTTGATTCTTAGGAACTTGTATATTCTCAACACTAGCATTTGGTCACTTTTATATGATCCAAATATCTTTTCTCAGTTTATGGCTTGCCTTGTCACTCTCTTCAGTCAAACTCTAAAATTTTGACTTTTGCATTTAAATATTTAATCCATCTGCAACAGAGTTTGTTTATTTACTGAGGGTAAAAATCCAGTTTCTCTGTTTTTCAAATATAAAAACTTTTCCTAGTCCCATCAGTTGACATAAATCAGGTTTTCTTATGTGTGTGGAAAAGTTTAAGGAATTTCTTTGAGCTTCCAAAAAAAGTTGTAAATCAGCTTGTCGAATTTTGGTTTTAAAAAGCAGTTGGACTTTTTAATTGGAATTGTGATTAATCAATTTGGGGAAATTGACATCTGATATCAGGTCTCCCTACCCATAAACTTGGTATCTCTCTCCATTTATTTAACTCTTATGAGTATTTTTCAGTAAGTTTTATATAATTTTCTCCATAAAGATCTTACACATCTTTTATGACTTTATTCATAGCTTCCTTACAAGACCTATTGCAACTCATTTAAAAATACATTTTCTAGGAGCCAGGTGTGGTCCAGTGATGCATGCCCGTAAACCCAGCTACTTGAGAGGCTGAGACCAAAGAATGACTTGAGCCCAGGAGTCCAAGACTAGCCTGGGCAACATAGTGAGACCCTGTCTCAAAAAAAAAAAATGCATTTTCTGGTGGTGTATTGAAATGAAGTTGATATTTGGATATTGAACTTATATCTAGCAATTTCGCTAAACTCTTTTTATTAAGTTTAATAGATTGTGTATATATACATATATATAGTATTTAGGTTCACAGGGAAAAAAGCCCATACAAATATATATATATATTTGTAGTATTTAGGTTCACGGGGAAAAAAGCCCATATATATATACTACAAATACTATTTTATTTCTTCTATCTCAATCCATATACCTTTTATTTTTCCTTCTGATTTTCATACTTTGATAAATATGATCTCTAGTACAGTACTGATTAGAAGTGGGGATAACAGCCATTCTTGTCTTATTCATCAATTTAAAGGGAGTGTTTTTAATATTTTACCATTGAATATAGTAGTTGATGTGAGGTTTTTGATAGATGTCTTTTATCAGGTTAAAGAAATTTCCTTCTATTCCACTTTTGCTAAGTTTATGGAGTTTTTTAAATTACGAATGGCTGTTTGTGATAAAATGGCTGCTTAGTAATGAGTTTTTTGTAGATATAAACTCATTTCAAAATAAGAGGGAAAAGAAGCTGAATCTTTATTGGCAACAAAATCTTTCCCAAGCCTCTTAATAGGGTTGCCTACTTTGTTATAGGGTGTGAGGAGAATTTCTAGTATTCTGTTATTATTACATGTAGGTAATAGCTTGATGAAACAAAAAGAACACTGGAAAGCTAAATCCTAATCTCATTTTGCCCTTCTTTTCACCTGAGAGAACTAATACAATTCACTTGACTCATGTGGGCCATATTGTTTTCAGCAAAATTCTCTGAAACTCAGGGACATGTGTACTGCTAGTAGTCATGTGGCTTCTTCATTTGCTTTGTTATTAATCCATCATCATCCAACATACTGACTTAGGAGGCACTAAGGACAAGGTACAATCTGTTCCTCAAGCACATTCTAGGGAGGGTGGAAAGAAGCAGTAGTTACAAAACACAGTTATAAAACAAAATGATACATCTTACCATCTACAGACATTGCTCATGATGTGTGGGTCAGGAAGTCCTTTGGGTGGGAAGAAAGAAAGGAAGATTCAGATGGGATATGATATTTGAGCAGAGACTTTGGATGATGAACATTGAACCTCCTTTGTGTTCTCAGTTGTTAGCAAAGGGATCAGACTAGTCATTCCCCAGAGGCCCTTCTAACTTTGAAATTTTGTCTCTGACATCACAAATAATTTCATGCTTTTATTAAACATTTGTGTTCCTGCCTCTGGCCTATGGTCCTTGGACTCTTGTTCCATAGGCTTAGGGTTGTGAATGACAAAAGAGGATCTTGGTGTTCTTTTATTAAGTAGTAACAATATGAATCTTAACAGAGAGTTAACTGATTAACTTTTTGTGTTTTTATGGAATTGCTCAATTGGTTATCATAAATAGATTTTGTTAAATTCCAGCCTTTATATAATTTCTAAGCACATTTCATTTGTATGTCTTATTTCAGTGCTGGACCCAAAGGAGACAACATTTATGAATGGAGGTCAACTATATTGGGACCCCCAGGATCTGTCTATGAAGGAGGGGTGTTCTTTCTTGACATTACCTTTTCACCAGACTATCCGTTTAAACCCCCTAAGGTCAGTATGAATTTTCATTGGTTTTTAGCAATATGGATTATACTTCTAGATACATATACTTAAATATACATGTCTAGGGATGCATGTCTGTTCTGTTGTCACAGACAGCTTCCCAGGATTGATAGTGTATAAAATGAAACAGTGTAAAAAAATTGTAGGTTATTTCTCCACCCCAACTTTTTACTGATTTCATTGTTTTTTCTCCTCCTTTTTCTCTTCATTATCTCCTTTCTTTGTTATACGTTTTAATGTAATATAAAACACCATGTTTTATGGGTGAAAATGGGGGCATAAGATTGGGCCAGGGTTAGTACCAGAGCCCAGAGAATCAGACATAGCCTGGAGCCAGAGCCCAAGCAAGCTAAGCGCAAGAATCAGGCTAAAGGAGGAGGAAGCCTTGCCAAGGCAAAGTTTATAGCACCAGCTATGGAGGTTTGAGTTTTAGTGCCTCTAGAGTTCAGCTGCTCACATGTAGTACACATGGACTAGTATGGAAAGTATGACCCACAGAGACATAAAAAATCATGTTAAGAAAATTTAGTAAAGAAGTATTTATGATAGTTCATTAATGAAACTGATTAATTAATGAAAAGTCATTTATGTTCATATCTGATGTGCAAGAGTGCGGTGAAATCAGAACATGAAAGAACTCTCACTTATTTAAGCCAAGATTATATACTTTAGAAAGTCTTCACATTCCTTTCTACTGCCTATAAGTCAGATGTTTTTAAATCATGTCATCTCTATTAGCATTTGTTCTCCACTATGGCAAAGGAAATGACCCTGAGGACACTATGTTTTGGTTACCTAGAAAGAATTCTCATCTGGCCCTGACTTAACATCACAATGCACAGGGATAGAAGACTTGTTTGCATTGTGTAGGTTGGAGTAAACAATATAAGAAAACAAGAATAAGACTAGACCTTCACGATGACTTTCTATAATTCCCCTCCCTCTTCTTTTTTGCCCCTGCTCTTCCTTTCTTCCTTCCTTTCCATTGATGCTTAGATAGTGTTACCAAAGCAAAAAGTAGTAACTATAATTATCCTCAATGAGGAAACCAAGGACAGAGGAACTAAGTAACTTGTCCAGCATTATGCATCAAGCAAATTGTGGTATAAGGATTTGAATCTGGAAAGCCTGGCTCCAAAGCCCATACTTCTTCCTACATTACACAATACATTTTATTCAAGCTGTCAGGGCTGGTGGCACTGGTGACCACCAAGAGCTTGCATTTGGCAGATTTTCAGTGACAAAGCCATAGTAAATCTAATACTTATCTTCTCCCTCTACTGGATGGGACCCTTATACCTTTCTTTTCTACTTTAGACCAGCCCTTAAGTTACCTGGAGTATCTGTTGTACTACGAGGGATGTAAGGACCTTTCTTTCTCAGCCTCTACAGTAAAGGAAGCACAGAGTGAGGAAGGAGGAAGAAAACTCAGACCAGGATATTGCGCTGCTTGTAAATCTGATGTGATCTGTTCTTTGAGATTAGCAGTTTCAGAAAATGTGTGGGCTTATCCAATTTCTGAATGACAGAAATGTGTAGTTAAACAAAGCTCGAATAAGCTGGAGGGAAGAGAGTCAATCACATTCTTGACGTTCTTCACTGAGTCGAGCACTCTGCTGGGCATCCGCTCTGCCAACTCATTTCTTCTCCAGAATGCTCCAGTAAGACTAGGATGTTGCCCTGTCACAGAGGAGGAAACATAAATGAGACTTAAAGAAGTTTTCCAAGAATGTACAACCAGGAATCTACTGAAGTCTGACTCCAGGGGCTATGTACTTTCCACTGAATTATACACACTTGCCATGGAGAAGTTGACTGGTAAAAATAGGGCATGGGAGGAATGCTTTATCTGTCCTCAAATGTTTCAGGGACTATGGTGTGGGTAGGGGTTGGACTTTATCCAGGATGGTTGGATGGGACAAAAATAGAAGCAGGAGGGTGTCAGTTACAGGGAAGTAGATTTCATTTTTTTCTGAGGGAAATCTGACCCACAGTTGGACAGTCAACTTGTGTGTGACTCTACTTCTGAGACACCATACTTCCCTTTACTAGGAGTGTTCAAGAAAAAACTAAGTTACTACCTGTCAAGAATCTTACCAGAAAATAATTGAATCCCTCCACGTAATGAGTTGGACCAGACAATCTCTAAGGAGAAAAAAAAATCAAACTTTGGTACCTAGAAACACAATTCAAATGCACATTTGATAGATATCTGTGGAAAGTTTTTAAAAGCAAATTATCACCTCCTAATATATCAGTTTTAGAAATCAGATTTTGTAGATAGGTGTGTTACTCGAGGGAGAAAAAACTTGGGGTGTAGTGAAGGCTATTAAGTAAAACAAATACTTTTATTATTAATAGTTTTGATGTAACATCTCCATGCCTTTCTAGTGTCCCGTTAGTTTAAATAGTACATGTTTCAAGTTGTCTTGGGTTTTTTTCTCTGCTACTTGGTATTTTTCTCTCCTTTGCTCTTTTTTTTTTTTTTTTTTTTTTTTTCCCCCACGTTAGCCATGCATTTTGATTCCTGCAGCATTTCCCAATACTCTGAAGAATGAACCAGGGAAGCAGTAGTTGTCAGGGGAAATTACTTATAAGAGCAGAGGCTTATCAAAACATCGGATGGGCTAGCTGATGGGCTAGCTGATGGTTATTTGTGTGGATATACATACCATAAAATTAGTCCGTAGCATGATTGGGTTCATGAGATTATTTTTTCCAAATTCTCATAAATAGAACCTTTTATGAGTACTTCTAAACACTGTAGAGCTCCAGTGTAGCTTTTAAAGGTCAGAGGAGCGATTTGAGATGCCCCTTCTTGTTGCAGGAACTTTTTCACAGTAGGGCTTGATCAGGTTGAACACCCTATATTCCACTGCCCAATTGTTAAAGATCAGAGATGAGCTCTTTTAGTAATTTCTTCCAGAATTTGCCAAATTCTAATAAGGCAAGCCAAACAATTACTACCTGAGTACATAACGTTCATTAAACTTAGTGTTCTAGTTTTAAATAGGTTGACTACTAGTACTTTTCAAATGCTGTATTTCAGTACAATTTTTAGGACATTGAATTTCTTATATGTTTATGCCTTTTACTTAACCTATAGCACAATTTTACTATTTCAAAGTATGTAAGGCATTTTACATGGTATCTTTTCTTGTGTGACATTGTCCATTGCATCTGTTGTCAGGTCTTCAATTGAGTACTTAACCTCCAATTATAATATGATTTCTCTGAGAAAATACCTGTTTAATAGAACTCCATCTAGGAATACTACATTATGGCCAAAAAGAAAAGTGTAATGAACTGCTAGTGTGTATAAAAGCTTTTTACACCTATTTATTTTTCAGTGTAGACGTATGTTTTAATGTTTTAATTCAAATATCTGTTTTCAAGGTAGAAGTTGCTTTGTTTGTTTGTTTGTTTGTTTTTTGAGAAACAGTTCACTCTTTTGCCCAGGTTGGAGTGAAGTGGCACGATCTCAGCTCACTGCAACCTCCGCCCCCTGCATTCAAGTGATTTTCCTGCCTCAGCCTCCCGAGTAGCTGGGATTACGGCGCCTGCCACCACACTCGGCCTATTTTTTGTATTTTTAGTAGAGACAGGGTTTTGCCATGTTGGCCAGGCTAGTCTCGAACTCCTGACGACCTCAGGTGATCCACCCACTTCAGCCTCCCAAAGTGCTAGGATTACAACCCTGAGCCACCATGCCTGACCAGAAGTTACTTTGTGTTTTGTTGGGGATTAGCTTTTAGATTCATAGATAATTAGTTTTTAAATTTATAGGTAATTACTCCTCAGCCAGGTGCAGTTGCTCACTCTGGTAATCCCAGCACTTTGGGAGGCTGAGACGGGAGGATCACTTGAGATCAGGAGTTCGAGACCAGCCTGGCCAGTGTGGCAAAATCCCATCTCTACTAAAAATATAAAAATTATCTGGGCATGGTGACTCACACCTGTAGTTCCAGCTTCTCAGGAGGCTGAGGCATGAGAAGTACTGCCCAGGAGGCAGAGGCTGCAGCGAGCTGAGATCATGCCATTGCACTCCAGCCTGGGGAACAGAGCAAGACTCTGTCTCAAATAAATAAATAAATAAATACATAAATAAATAAATAAATAAAATTACTCCTCAAAGTGCTCAAAATCTGTACTTTATTTTAAAAGTTTAATATGTAAGTATTTTAGTGTTATTCATTTTGCAGCCTACATATTTGTTATAGAATTTAAAAACTATTGCAGATAAGCAAAAGGGAAAAAAATTACCTGTAATCTCCCCCAAACTGATTATTCATGCCTTTTAGGTATATCTGTTTTAAGACTTTTGTTGCCTTCATTTGTATCATATACATATAAATATGTACACATACAGGCCTGTACATATATATATACATAAACACTCATACACCTTTTTACAAAAATTGAGCCATACTCCCAATGGCTTCATGTTTACTTTTTTATCTAATGTTATATTTTCATCCAGTGCCATATATTATATATTTCCAGTAAACATTTAATTGTGTTACAGTTATAAAGGCTACCTAGTGTTCCGTTGTATAAATATGCCAAAATTTAATCACTTTCATGTGGCTGGACATTTAGGTTCTTCTCATTGCTTCTGTTATAATCAGTGATGTGATGAACATTCTTAAAATTACATATTTTTTATACTTTTATGATTATTTTCTCAGGTTAAATTTGTTGATGTAGAATTTCTAGGTAAAGAGTTTGCACATATTTATAGAGTTTTTGGTAAAGATTGACAAATTGTGCTTCAGAAAAATTGTATCAGTTTACATTGTGACCATCAACGTGACAGTGTAGAACTTCCCTACACTCCCCTCAGCTTTGAGTATTTTAGGTCTTTTTTACTGACAGTAGATGAAAAGTGGTATCTTATGGTTACATTAATTTACATTTATTTGACTACCTGTGAAATGTATGACAGTTTTCATGTATACTGTTGTCCTATCTCATTATTTCTTTTCGTG